TCTTCTTTATCCATTCATCAGTCGATGGACATTTAGGTTGCTTCCACGTCCTGGCTATTGTAAATAGAGCTGCAATGAACATTGTGGTACATGACTCTTTTTGAATTATGGTTTTCTCAGGATATATGCCCAGTAGTGGGGTTGCTGGGTCGTATGGTAGTTCTATTTTTAGTTTTTTAAGGAACCTCCATACTGTTCTCCATAGTGGCGGTATCAATTTACATTCCCACCAACAGTGCCAGCTGGGGAGAAGGTACAGAGTAGGGAGAAGTGTTCTTGGAGCTGGGGAACAGCTTTTGCAGAGGCCCTGGTTCAGGGAAGGGAAAGGGCCTTGGTGTCCTAAAGGAAGTGAGAGGAGAGAGGCCTGAGCTGCAGAAAGGCAGTGATGGAGGGGACCTGGCTGCATGAGGCCAGAGAGGGAGGCAGGGCCCGACCCTACAGAGCCTTGAAGGCCACGGACGGGGTCGGCTGTCAGGCCAGGTGTGAAAGGAAGTTTTATGTGGCTTTAAGCCAGAGAGTGACATAAAAGTGTGGCTTAGGATGGACTGAATTTTTTTTATTACTTTTGGATTGTAGTTTATTGCAAAAGCTTTTAAGAAAGCATCAGAATAAAACAATTGTCTATGAATTGAAGAAGATTTAAAATGACCACCGTTAAAGATCTGGTAAGAGTTTTTTATAATATAATCGACAAGAAAATGTGGGCCGAATTTTCTTAAATTCTTGCTCTTAAAACCAGATTGTGTGCTATGTGACAGGAGCTGGAGGACTCTGGGTGTGAGTGTGTGTGTGTGTGCACGCGCACGCACGTTCACGCACGCTCATGCACACCTGCGCTCACAGGGCGATCCTAAAGCTCCCTTCCTTGGAGCTGGTAGCCTAGTAGAGGGGACTAGGGACACAGGTGCCTACAGTCTAGGCTAGAAAGTCAAAAGTCCCATGAACTAAAGTTAAAACTCCAAGAAGGGAGCAGCCACTTCCCCCTGCAATTGGGGCTGGGCCATGGGTAGAAGGCAGGGAAGGGGCAGCATGGGCCAGTGGTATGTACTAGTATCCCTCGTAGTTTAAGAGCACGTAAGGACTCTGGCTCAGATGCTGTGTGACTTGCTTAATCCTGCACAGCCTTTATGTGGCAGAGATGGGGGACCAGGGCAAGGCTGCCCGAAGCCCGTCTTCTGTGTAAGGGCCACTTTGCCTTCCAGACACTTTCCTACATGGAATCTGCATTTTCTTATCAGAGGATGACTTTAAAGTAATGCTGGAACATAGTAGGTGTCCAGTGAAAGGTAGTCTCCCATATGAGCCTCCAGTTGCTCAAGGAACCATCAGGTGGGGTGATGATCCTTGCCAGCCCACGTGAGCTCACATCTGCAGAGGCCCTGCTGTTCTTCATGTTCTGGCTGGTTGGTGTCAGTAGTCATGGCTAGTGAGTTCCCCGCCACAGAGCACATCCCCCCCCCCCCCCCCCCCCACCACGCTAAAGCCTGGTCATCTGTTCACACTGGCTTTCCTGCGCAGGCTGAGGGCCTTGAGCACCGAGTCACAGACAGAGCATCTCATATGTGCCGATGAATGACAGAAGGAACCATCTAGTAATCTGAGGAGAAAGGTTTGACATACCGACAGTAATAGGAAGGGGGGGGGGATGTGCGAGTCCACTGGAGCAGAAATTGAGAGAGATTTTGGGCACTTTTTTTTTTCTTTAGCAGTACGCGGGCCTCTCACTCCTATGGCCTCTCCCGTTGCGGAGCACCGGCTCCGGACGCGCAGGCTCAGCGGCCACGGCTCACGGGCCCAGCCGCTCCGCGGCATGTGGGATCTTCCCGGACCGGGGCACGAACCCGTGTCCCCTGCATCGGCAGGCGGACTCTCAACCACTGCGCCACCAGGGAAGCCCCTGGGCACTTTTCTTTATGTAACTACTCTGTACCTCAGCAAGGAAAATATTATGGTTTCAAACAAATATGAAGCCAAGGCATTGATGTCCCGTGTAAACAGTGCCTGTGCACCACCGAGCTGGTAAGTGAGCCAAGACTCGTGTTCCAGACTCTCTCCCCCAGGGGCAACTACAAAGTGTTTGGCTTGGACTGAAGCGAGGCTCTTTAGCAGGAACCCTCCCTGCCTTTCCTCTGCTTCAAGAATACTGGTCAGTGCTGCATCTTGACTCTGAGGGGCACTGGGCACCTTGCTGTTCTCTCAAAGCAGCCTGAGCATCGGCTTTCTCCACCTTCACGCAAACTTCCACGCAAAGATCCAATGGCCAAGTTTCCATTTCAGAGGCAGAGTCATCACCAATCTAAGTCGTCACCCTCAACCAGCCAGAGCGCACCACGAGGCCACCAGGTGACTGTCCTTCAGAGTCCATTATTCACAGAAACGGTTTTCCCTGTTGTGTGTCATGCCCACCCCCCATCCCCGTAAGACACCTGGAGAGAGACTCCATCCATCAGGACCTTGGCAAAGAAAGACAGGCGAGGCCCTGCCCCATCAGGATTTGTCCTCACACCTCTGCAATCAAGGCCTGCAGCTACACACCACCTGAGAGCCTTAAGGCAAAAGTGCTGCTGTGAGAAGGGCTTGAGGCCCCAGCCTGGCTCTGCCACAGAGGGAAGCATTGTTTCTGAGCACAGCACGCACTTCTGTGGTGTCTGGTGCTGCAGACTCATCACGTGGCTCCCCCAGAACACGGCGGACGTGCCACTCCCTGCCGGCCGTCACCCCATGAGGGGGGCAGGGGCACAGGCCTTCCAGAGGGACTCCCTGCCTATGCCAGCCCCAAAACAACAGTTGGCCCAGCTATAAGAAGGGTTGGCTTCTCCTCTGCCTTTCTTCTTTTTGGTTAGATTCTGGAAGATGATGTGGGATTTTTTTTCATAAGGCAGGAGAAATCCCTAACTCACGGGTGGCCAAGATAAAACCCTTGAAGACCATGAGCCAAAGTCAAGTGGGAGCAATTTTCTGAATCTTGGTGAAGGAGAAGCGTCACACAAAGGTAGCTGCCAATAAGACAGCAACAGGCCAAGAGGGAAAGCAAGGCACAAGACAACCAAACCTCTGCAGAATGATGAGTTGTTCTATTTGCTACACATTTCGACCCACAGACAGACTGTACCCTGTTAAGATGTGCCCCTTGTCATGGTCCGCAGCTGCTGGAAGGATCTTTTCATCTTGAAGATGTATCACTAGCTCACTGAACCTGTTCGGTAACTCTGCGAAAGCCAATTTAAGCTGCCTTCTCACTTCACTCTGCACTCACAAGAGGAGACCAATTTCCGATACCTCCTCAGACTCCAGGAGACCAGATGCTGTGACAAACTTCCCAGCAAAATGAATGTGAGAAGAGGATCCCAGGGCGCTCCTTGGGGTGGGCACAGGATTCTGCGGCTTGGGCGTATACTGCTTTCAGGTGTGTTACTGCCACCTCCTCCCTCCCAGTGCTTCTGATGGGAAATGCTGTTGTGACAGCACAGGGGATCTTGGGGAACACAAGAAAGTTCCCATGAGAAAGTGACAGACTCAGAGCGCCAAGGCCCTATTGCATCTGGCAGCCTGAATTGGGCAGCAGTTCCTGCAAATGAGAAGCCACCGCCTTGGTTAGGTAGGTCATTGTCCCATAAGCCCCGCTGGGAGCACTGTCGTAAAAGAAGTGGCAAATGCCCGTGGCTTGGTCCTTCTCCAGTGTGTCCGTGGCACCGATCGACATCTGCAGCAGGAAAGGGCACAGGCGACACGTGAGCAGAGCTGGCGCTACCAGCCTAACGGGGGGACAGATGGCCTCTACTCTGGGCACCGTGTCCCCACCCGCCCAAGTTGGCAGCACATCACTGATTCTAGGATGAGAGGACGGCTTCTTCTAGCTCGACTCTGGTGCAGGCTAAGGGGTTGGTTTACTTGGGGCCAGACATGGCGCAAGGCTGGTGCTGGCACTAGAACCTATGCTGAAATGGGCCTGTCCATCTCCAAAGGTCTTTAGATCTCCCAGTGGCCACTGTGCCATTTTCAAACTTTCCCACCATCTGTGATGACATTATCTTTGTTCAAGAATATTCTTTCCTATTGGTCACAGGATCTCCAGCCTCGACAGAGATAAATGCCAGCCAACACGGCTGCACTGCCTCTGTCCCCACCTTGGCTCTGGGCACACCCACCTGGTCCTGCAGGAACAGCTGGTTGGCCATGTGCACGATCTGGTCCACATGGATGATGCCCCCAATGCTGTTCATCTCCGTGTCCGAGAGCAGCGTCAGCACCATGATGGCCTCCACCAGCAGCTGCCGGTACTCAGGCTGCGGCACTCGGGTGAGCACCGACTCAACGGGGACAGAAAAAATGATCT